GTATCACAAAAGGTGAAGGCATGGCTTTCTTTTTCTCTTTGGTTTCCACCAACACCTTATTCAGTGCACCTTCTCCAAAAAGTAGTCTACCTGAAAACCTTTCTGCAGATAGGTTAGACTTGGACAAAGGATCTGAACTATGTTGGCTGCTTGTGCTCTAGCACAGAACTGCATTCCTTAGTTCTCTTAATTTTCAGTAAGGGCCTCTTAAGGGTCAGTGGGTTGGTGTCCATGTCCTACAGCAAACTGTCAGCCCAAACCACAATGGCCCTAGTGAAGTTGGAGAGAACTGCTGAAGCTCTGATGGCCAGGGAAGAAGCTTTGTGAGATTTTTTTTAAGAGCCGCTTTGTTTTCCCTATCTATTGAGTCCTTTAGAGCATTGTCCCCCTTTTTTGACATAACTGCTCTTGAATGAAGGGCAACTACAGGTGTGTCTACCCAGAGAACCTTCAGATCCTCCATGGTGTCATCTGGAAGAGCACAAAACTTTTTTCCTATGCCCATTAACAAATGGCCCGTTCAGCCTGTAGAACATTGTCAAAAAAAATCTGGAAAGGGAAAAACTGAAGAACCCTTGGAATTTTCCTGTAAAGCAGCATCTTCTCCTGACCACTCTTCTTCCTCCTCATTAGCAACTGTAGGGTTGTAGAGGGAAGTTCCTCCAGCTTTGAGCCTGAGCCAGGAAAACCTCTATAGGTCCCTCTGGCATCCCCCTTATAGCCATCTTTACTCGGCCATCTATCTCCCGCTGTAGTCGGTGAACAAGATCTCTCGTCATTGGAAGCCTCAGATGAGTGCATTGCCGAGCCTCTTCCTCCCATCTGCCTCAGAACACATCTTTTATAGGGCAGGGGCAACAAGACTTTGGCGGAAGAGGATCTGGGTGGTGAGAGTGGAGGATGACCTCTCCTGGTGCTTGATCTCTGCCTCGCTCTTCTTCTACCACCCTCTATAGCCATCTGATTGGATTCTAACAGGCCAGGTAAGAAAGGGAACTTCCAGGGATTGAAGGCCCGTATGACTGGCTGGTTGTGTGAACATCGGAGATGGGAAGGCCCATGGTGTTCTGTAAGCCTGCATCATCCTTGCGGGGGGGGGGGCAAAAAGTACAGGGAGGAAATGGCATGGATCCTGTCTGGTTCCCCATCAGCATGGCATGGAAAGGCTGGGGTTGCGCAAAAGGTTCCCCGATTCTCCTGCCCACCCTGGGATCAAAGGCGTGTTTATCCCCCCATGTCACCTACCTGATTGGATGGAAGGAAAATCTCACCCTCTGATGTTCCCTGTGCATGTCCTACAGACCCAGAAGCTTCCAAGTCACAAGCAAGAGATCCAGCCGATAACATCTCTGCCTGGCTGGCCAAGGGCTGAGACCTCTTCCTGGGGACCTCTGATGTTGCTGGTGCAGTAGACACAAGAAGACCAGTGCCACACTAGGGAGGCTTTCTTGTAGCTGTTCTCCATTGACCAAAGCTTTGGACAGGAGATCTTTTTTCTTTCTGAGACCCATCAGTTTGCCTTCTTGGTCGCAGTTGGGGCTGCAGTTTTCTTCGTCCAGGCTCTCCCAGAAAGTAACTAGACGAGCTTTTGACTGGTTATGGATAGAAAGAAGTGGTGCTCCCTCAATGGCTCTCTCCTGCTTCCTGGTTCGCACAGGAGAGATGCCAAGCCTCCCTTCCCTTCCTTTCCCCCCCCCACACACAGCCAGCTCCCTCAATGGTTCTCTTCTGCTTCCTTCTTCATGCAGGAGATATATAAAGCCAAGCTTCCCTTCCCTTCACCCCACTCTCTCACTCACACACACAGCTCCCACCGTGGCTCCCTCCTCCCTTCACTCCATTGACTGAGGTTTCCTCCCCCCATTTGGTGGGGGGGGGAGAGAACGAACGAACAAACAAACAAAGCTGGAGTCCCATGGCAACTTGGAACAAAGTTGGAGTCCCATGCCCAACAACGTTGCCCTGACAAGATAGCCCAGGCAAGCCTGATCTCATCAAATCTCGGAAGCTAAGCAGCATCGACTCTGGCAAGTATTTGGATGGGAGACCTCCTTGAAATACCACATGCAGGAGGGCTGGGGCAGGCTTTATTCAGCCACCTCTCTGCATAGTCTTCAGCTTCATCATCAGTTGCAGTTCAGCAGTCTCTCTAATCTCCTTTGAATTTCCTTTGTACGAAAACTGCTACTCTTAAGGTCAGCAACTGAATGTTCTGGAAGGTTAAATGTTCCCTCACTGGTTTTTTAATGTTGTGGTTTCTTATGTCCATTTATTCTTTGCATCCTCCTGGACCAAATCCTCCTGAGCTGAACTGAGACCTAAGTTTCCTGTCTCATTACCAATGATGGTATAGGCCAGCCTAGTACCCGTCTGCATATCATACCTAATCCAATCAAGTCTGCTATTGTCATTCACCTGCTTTGACATTCAGTGTCTGAAATCACCTTTACAAAGTTTATATTTCTGGTACCTCATGTTACATTTTATGGCATGCGTGACCACACCCAACAAACTGACATTTATGTCAGAGCCAGCTCTCATAACAAATCAGTTCGACACCTCTGCCCTAGACCCATAAACATTGGCTTCCATCCATTATATAAATCTTAGAAGCGTAACTAATAGCACACTACAAATTATTTTGACATCTTTGGCCTTATTTTATTTGTGCCTAAAGTCAACTGTCATGCACCAAGAACTAATGGACATCTGTCACTGGTCTATTTTATATCACTTGGGCTCTTCAGGAGTCTTCAGAAGTCAGTCAGAACTATTATATCACACAGTCCTTAAAAAAAAAGTTTTAACATTGAACATTAGTTGCATGCTTGCTACACTTCAACAAATAATACTGCCAATAATTAAACAGTAATTAATTTATTCCGTTAGTTCCCATATGCTCCTTTTCCTGCCTCACTGTAGTTAACAGAGGCTTTGCACCAATTTCAAAGGATCAGATGGAGTACAACTGCAAAGCAGGCAATTACCCAACTGTCAGCCAATTACAATGATCACCGAGAGCTCTTGGCATCAAGGTTCAGGTCGGCATCGGGCAACATGAATCATCATTTCCCAGCATGACACCATAGGCAATCATGTCATTCACAGCAGCGTCTGCAGGCCTTTGGATTATTGGAGAGAAAATGGATCATTAAGATAAGAGGCCACGAAGTCGGCACAGACCAAGAGAACTGTGGGTAAAGAGTAAGTACATCTTTGTAAAATCCTCTTAAACAGTCCTCGATGGCTGCTGGAGTGGGCTGCCTGCACATATTTGGACTGGTGCTTCCAGAATACAGTATCATTCATCTCCCTACATTTCCCCCTCATCGCCTTGATAAAAACCCATTTATGGGTGTTATTACTACTGCTCTGCAAACCCTTTCTACTTCTCATGATGATCAACTATTAATATCCTCTAATTCTGCTAATTTCTGCAAAATGTGCTGCCTTAATGTGGTTCCTCCATCCTTTCATTTGCATACTGAAAAATTTCCAGCACACAAAATCTGCTATGAACTTTCACTATCCAATCATGGTCTCAAATGTAGTTTGCTTGGACAGCCACCCCTGGTTCAAGCTACTCTCACCTACAATTTCCTATGAGCATCTTTTGCTTTACATCTAGGTGGATAAATGCTATCAGTGACCCTTTTTAAAAAATCCTCCCTTTCAAGAGCAAGCTTGATAATCCTCATTAATCAGCAGGGCAGTCAAGATATGGGTTTCTGTACACCTGGGGGACCCTTGAGTATGCAGGAAAAAAGCTGGCGCCAAATTAACAAAAATGTCTGGATGAGAACTGAGCATGCTCAGTTGGGGGGGGGGGTTCAGTGGCAGAGCATCTGCTTGGCATGCAGACAGTCCCAGATTCAATACCTGGCATCTCCAGTTAAAAGGATCAGGTGGTAGGTGCTGTGAAAGACCTCAACCTGAGACCCTGGAGAGTCACTGCCAGTCTGAACAGACAAATACTGACCCTGATGGACCAACTGTCTGATTAAGGCAACTTCATGTTTGTGAGTACCCTTCAAAAGGCATGGG